TTAGCCATACAACATGCATTCCATTCCGGCCCTGCGCCTCTCAGTTTCTCTGCTAGTTTGAAAGTCTCTGGTTCAGTGTCCAGCAGTTTCCTTCTAAGCTGTTTCATTAGGTCCTTCCCGTTCCCTTCTGTTTCTCCAGGCCTTTCTGGCATTGATCTGCATTCCCAGAGGCCCAACGGATTAGCCCATCTCACTACTACAGGGATAATTAAGGAATGTGTTTCCATGGCCTGGCCTTGAACCTCACACCACAGCTGTCCATTAGGAGTAATGTTGAAGTTGTAGCAAAGAGAGGGAGCATCTGTGAAGGAAAAATGCAGGCAACAGTTGGGATTGAAAGAAAAGGAGCCATAGGTACTTCTCCCCCATCTCTGTGACAGCAAGGAATGCCCCTGATGGCAGGGCTGGCAGAGCAAGGACTGGCCCTGCCCAGCCTCTCCCTGCACCAGGTGAAGGCCAGTGCCCCTCTCTTGTTTGAGGGGGACCAGGAGGTCTCTGCCTGGCAAGAAACCACACATCTCCGGATATGTCCCCTCTGTCCACCAGGCCAATACCCAGCATCAGTTAAACACAGGGATGTGCCAGGCCGGCTGGAGGAGCAAAAGGTCTAGCCCCCAGAGGATTGTCAGAAACTACCCTGTGCCCTGTGGGAAGATGGTAGAAGGGGCAGGGGGGCTGATGCTGAGCAGGATCATGGCTGTGGCTGATTGAGGTGAACCCAGTGTTGGACAAGGGTAGAGTTGGCGATTATGGGTCAAGGCTTTTAGCACGACACTGGAAGATGGTGCCTTCCTCCCACCAGGATGGATCTTGGGAGTTTCATAAAAGAAATGGCTGCACTGCAGGGGACAGAAAATCAGGAACTGGGGAGGGAGAGAGTGTCGGATGGGATTAAAAGGCTCCAAGAAATACATATGTCAGCGTGGATGGGGTATGAAAAGCCAGAACAACCAGAGAATGTTTACCAACTATGCTCCATGGGAAGGACTGAAGGTCTTAGTTTATTGAATTGAGCAGGAATGCACAGTGATGATGGTGTTCAAGGTTGGCCACACCCCAAACTGTATCACTTAGGCATATTGATCATTTTGAATTAAAGTTACTTAAGAACAGCTGGTGCAAGGAGGACACTCTGATCCTTCTTTGTCCTCCTAAAAGCAGGACATGCTCCCTGTACCAGGAGGTAGAGCTACATCCTTGGCATCAGACATAGGGAAGTTAGAGCCCAGAAGGGTGAATAAACAAACCTTGTTACTTCATTACTAATTGACTACTCCAAGTCCAATCTCCTTTGTGTTGTCGATTCTTCAGAAATGAATTGTTTCTTTGTCAAAAGATATAAAAGCTGCCTACTTTGGTCACTTCAGAGTCTCATATTTCTTTCAGATCCCCTATGTACCAAATTAAAATGTTCTTTACTCATTTAATATTTTTCTAGTTAATTGAAATACTAAAATTTTCAGAGGAACTTAGAAGGATAGAGGAAAAATGCTTCTTCCTGATAGTGGGAAGGGCACTACCATTTTCTCAGTCCATGGGAAGACGCTCAATCCTCTGAGCCACACTGGCCAGGCTGGTACCATCATTTTCAAGTAGCTCAGTGATGTTTGTCTGTGATGGGCAGGCTTGACAGGTGGAGATGGTATTCCAGAAATGGGCTCCCAGTAGTAGTGGGGATAAAACATATTCTGAAATAATACATTTGAGATATAGGACTCAACTGTCATAAGCAGGAAGAGTCCCACTATTGAAATGATCGGAAAGGTTGGAATGCCAACCAATGTCCACAGAGTGCTGTCCCTTTGGGTCAGAGAACACCGTGATCCTAGGGAGAAAGTAGACAGACAGCGAACATAGAGAGTGATGGATTTAAGTAATAAAATCAAAGACAAGGCACTGGGATAAATAATTAGAAGGCCAACAGCAGCCTCCCTAGAAAGAGGCTGAATCCTTTGCCAGTTTCAAGAACTGAGCCATTTCTTTTTCTTTTTCTTTTTTCAATTTTTTTTCCTTTATTGATTTTAGAGAGAGGGAGAGAAAGACAGAAACATTGATGAGAGGGAACATCGATTGGCCGCCTCCTGCATGCCCCCCACTGGGTTTTGGCCCACAACCTGGGCATGTCCCCTGACCAGGAATTGAACCTGCAACCTCTAACTGCATGGGTCGATGCTCAACCACTGAGCCACAACAGCAGTGTAAGAATTGAGCCATTTCTGAGACCTATCACTCATTACTAGAAGGAGAGGCCAGGTTTAAGTGAGAAGGGACCCTTTAAGTTGAGAGCAAGTACCTTATGGCCAGTGACTCAAGTAAGTATGCACTGGGAAGCAGAAAACACCCAGACACTCATATTGGACATAGTGTGTGAGTTAACATCATTTCCAGAGACCACAGTATCATCTTTGGTCCTATTTTTGTTTTTAAATTTTTTTTTTTCTTTACTGATTTTAAAGAGAGAGGAAGGGAGAGGGAAAGAGAGATAGAGACATCGATGAGAGAGAACATTGACTGGCTGGCTTCTTCCTGACCCACACTGGGGATTGGCCCCACAACCTGGGCATGTGTCCTGACCAGGAATTGAACCTATAACCTCTTCTTGCGTGGGTTGATGCTGAACCACTGAGCCACACTGGCTGGGCTGATCACTGGTTCTGTTATTAAAGTGGTGCATGGGGGTGGGGCCCAGTTAACAAATAGACACCTGTCCCAGGTCCTGCTCACAGTGGTGTCATTTGGTTTAGCAATCCACACAGTGGTCATTTCACATTCCCTGGATTTGTAACAGGAATAGAAATTTTTTTTTGTTCGTGGATTACTTGTGGCTTGAGGACTACACAGTAGGGAAATTCAATTACAACCTTCTTACATTTTCCTCTGTTTCCTCCAAATAGATTGTTAAAACAGTATGTTATCCTCAATAAAATAACAGAGAAGGGTACCAACCTTAAATCCTCTCTAAGGATGCAGGGGTGTGATCCCTTTCCTAGCTCTATTTAATTGCCAGCCTGGTCTGATTTATTCCTATAAATGAGTATATATGAAATATTTCAGGTTTTGCAGACCCAGAAATCTGTTGCAAATGCTCAGATCTGCTGTTGTGGCACGAAAGCAGATGGGCAATACTTGAATGGATGAATGTGGCTGAACCTTGTTCCTGGTCCATGAAATCCAGCAGACTATGATACAAGACAATCTGTAGTAGGACAGTGCTGTGGGGACTTCACGGCATTCCTACTGGAGGATCACAACATAGACCCTCTAATGTTCTGAAGCAAGATCATATCACTTGCTGCAGGAAAAGCCACACCATTCAAAGAGGGTCCTGGTGAAGTACTGAGACCTGGCAGAGATGAGGCCTCTGGCTATGGGGTGTCAGAGTTGTCCATCATGAGTGCCATTAGGTCAGATGGGCCCAGCAGTCATATAATAGAAGTGCTTCTTTGGGCTTTGAAATGAGCAGGGTCACAGGGGACACATAACATGTAGACAGATGTCCCTGACTTCACCACCAGAAATGTTGCACCAACACTACCCTCGGGTTGCATCTATGACTTCCTGAAGTATCTCAAAGGCCCTCTTGGACCAAGGAGTCTAGTCTACAGAAAGGAGAGGAGCAATGTCCTATTGCTCTGGGACCCACATTCTCTACATTGACTGCACGCAGAAGCCACAGGCAGGATAGTGAACAGGGCTGGCTTTTCAACACACAGTGGACAGGTGGGGTGACAACCATATCTGTGAATCCAATATACTTTAAATGTTGGGTCAGTAAAGTAGCACAATGGCCATATCTGGCCCACACTCCTTGCATGTTGTCTTTGGCTGCTATTGCACCATACAGGTGGGGGTGCGTAGTGTGTACAGAGATGGATCCTAAGTGACCTGCAAAGATGGTAACATTCACTGTCTGTCCTTTATATAGAAACAGTTTGCAGACTGTGCATATGCTGCTCAGTAGGTGGGAAATGTGGGTTTGGGACCACACGGTAGACTGACAGTGCCTTTCCCTACCAGCTTCCCAGGGTCATAGTTTGGAAACATGTGCTTCCTCTGCTTTCCACTCCAGGTTCCCTGGGCCAGGTGCAGAGGCTTTGGCTGTGTGTGTCCTCAGGCAACAGGGATAAGGTGCCACTTGGTGGAGGAAGGGGTTAGGGTCACTTCACACATGGAAGGTATTGGAAGCACTGCTGTTCTTGGGACCCCAAAGCATTGGGCAATAGAACTGGGTGCGTGGGGAGGACAGCAGTAACTGGGGAGGGAAAGTGTCTGAAATGAGTGCCTGGGCTGCAGGTTCTGTAACCCACTAGCAGAGGTGGCAAGAAAGTTCAAGGTGGAGAGCAGTGGGGATGATGGAGGGTTTGTGGTCAGGCCTGGGAGCAGGGTAGGGGAGTGAGTCATGTGTGTGCCTGTGTGCAGAGACCCTGAGGGAACACTTCCTGTCCGGACGCCTGGGATGCCAGGGGCTCTTGTTCCGACTTCCCCAGATGTGGGCTGGTGTGGGGAAGGGGGAGCGTTGGGAATGGAAAGGCGTGTTAGAAGTGTGTAGGGTGGTGGGTGGTTTTGAGGGGTGTCAGCAGAACGGGCCAGTGTTGAGGCGTCTCTCCCCTGTCCTTGGCTGTTGGTGTGGTGGTGGTGGGGGCGGGCTGTAGGACGTGTATTGGGTGTGTTTGTGGCTGGTGGTGAGAGCGCTTGTGATGCCGCAGGGCTCCTCTGGATGGGGCCGGCCTGCCCTGTCCAGGAGTTCAGCCAAGTGCTGGCACTGGGCGGGGCGGAGGGGCGGGGTTGGGCGGGGCGGGGCGGGGCGCTCTTTGAAAGGGACGCCTCTTTGGGTCCGGCTCATTGGACTTTGGTCCAATCGCCTCTCTTCCCTCCCTCCTCGTGAGGAATATAAGCAACCGCGGGAAAAGGCGGTGTGACTCAAGGTCTCAGACACTGTCCCAGGCCATCTGCGCGCAGACGCTGTCAGCCCCGCAGGGCAGCTCGGATCGCTCCTCGCGATGGTGCCGACCGCGGGCTCCAAGTTCAGCCTCGTCCTCCTGGTTCTGGCTGTGCTGCCAGACTGCCCCCGGACCTCAGACTGTCCCTTGCTTCGTGGAGGTGAGTTCGGGATGTAATCTCCAGTGGGGTGCTTGGGGAGACGCGGGAAGGGGAGGGAGGAGATGGGAGGGGGACATTCAACTCGCGGACAGGATTGGAGTGCGGGTGGCAGTTCGAGAACCTTCCAGAGGGTGGCAACGCTGCCCCTAGGATCACCCTGTTCTGTGAGCCATAGTTATAGCTCTCTGTGGTTGAGACTCTGCTTCCTAATCATTCTGATGGTCCTACTTCCTTCGCTCTCCACACAGAGCTCCTGTACCTGTGATTTCTTATTTCAGAATTTTCCGTCCCCTTTACTACTGGAAGCCATTTTGGGGAACGCGGAGTCCCACCACCTTTCCTGACCATCAGCAAAGTCATCAGTGAGCTCTTAGAGAATTCTGTGCTCTTCTCATCCGTTCTTTCCTCAGCAGCTCAGTAAACCAGAGTTTAGGTCAGGCTTTCTCATGGAGCATGGTGGATTGCACACTGTGGTGCCTTTTCATATCATATCCCTCCTGGCATATTCACTTCTGTGAGCCACCTGATCCCTCCCTCTGCGACCTGCCCCAGAAGTTGTGGCTTTTCTGTCACATGCACTGGAGCCACGCCTTCCTCCAGGCTTGCAAGAGCCACCCTCGCAGCAGGTGCACCATCCCAGGGCTGTGCTGGAGCATGACCCACAGTCGTAAACTCCCCTTCTCCAGCTGGGAGGCCTGTCCACCTCCCCACCCCACTGTCATGCCGCTTCCTCAGGAGCAGCCCTGCATGCTCTCCATGTCCCCGCAGGGCACTGCCTAGTCTCTGGCATGTAGACCTTTTATCCATAGCCACCAGGCATGTCTCTGGATGGGTTATGGGCTGATGACGGGTATTGACTTGGTGTAGGGAGAGGACATATCTGGAGATGTGTGGTTTCTTGCCCAGCCCAGGCCTCCTGGTCCTCCTCAAGCAAGGGAGAGGCCAGGCAGGGTCATTCTTGCTCTGCCAGCCCACCCATCAGAGATGGGGGAGGGGGTGTTTGGGTCCTTTCCTTCCAACCCCAGTCCTCACCAGCATTTTTTCTTACAGAGTATCACTATCTTTACTATGATTTCAACATTTCTTCTAACAAAAAATCTTGGTGCATGACTCAAGTCCAGATGGATGGAAAGAATTTTTTTTCTTATGACTGTGGCAGTGGTAAGGTCACATCTATGAATCTCCTGAGAGAAGAGGTAGTGACCACAGAAACCTGGAGAGAACAGACCACAACACTGAGGGATGTGGGGAACTTGATGAAACAGCACCTGCCTGACATTATAGCAGAGAAATACGCAGACAGAGGTAAGTGTGAAAATCCAGGTGCAGAGGCGAGCAGATTGTGAGCTTAGCACTATTTATTGTATTTGTATAAAGAAAAGTGGATGTTGGTCCTCTCCATGCAGCCCAGCAGAAAGGTCAGGGAGAACAGTGCAGGATTAGAAGAGTTCAGAGGAGGGGACACCAGGTGGGGTGATGATTTGACAAGACCGGAGGCTGACGTCTTCCCCACGGGCCTGTGGGCAGGTCCTTTCACCCTGCAGGTCAGGATGACGTGTCAGTGCAACGCCAGAGGAAGCTACAGTGGATCCTGGGAGTTTGGATGGAACGGACAAAGGTTCCTTGTCTTTGACCCGGAGAGTGGACAGTATACTGTGGTTCATTCCGGAGGCGAACAGCTGAAAGAGAAGTGGGAGAAAGACAAGGACTTGACCAAGTACCTCACAGTTACCTCAAAGGGAGACTGCAGGAAATGGCTTCAACACTTTGTGCAATGGAAGGAAGAGCTGGGGACAGCAGGTAACAGGGAAGAAGGGAAGGAGTGGTTGTTTGCTTGAGATAAGATTGACCTGCCCTTGAGTGAATGAGTGTGAGTGTATGTGTGTGTGTGTGTGACCATGTGTATGAATGTGTGGGTGAGTGCGTGTAGGAAAAAGTGATTCATGGCAGTGAGTTTCTGGGAGAATAATGACCAGAGGTGGTCCTGCCATCCCTCCATCCTCCCGTCTCTTCCTCACTGCATATAACCGTGCACACTCACCGTGGATTCTTGCTGACCACACATGAGGGCATCGTTCTGTTTTCACACCTCTTGCTCATACTGTTTCCTCTTCTCAGCATCACTTTTCTCCTTTGTCTATTTCTGGAAACCCTTCAATACCACTCTGAATCATCTCCTGGAGGACTTCTCTGCTGCCTACCTTCTCCTCCTCTTCTGTCACAGCAGGAGTGACAGGGTACATTATAACACTTGCTGTCCCTTTAGCTGTGTGAGCCCTAAGGGGACGGGGCTCATCTCCTCTTTGTTCCACCCCAGAATATGTGCTGTGGGTGCCACATGTAGGGTGTAGGAACTGTCTGTATTGTAGGAGAACCTGGGCAGCAGGGGCTCAGGAGGGGTCTCCTCAATTTGGGTTCTTCGCACGATGTCCCGCTTGTGTTTCCATTGCAGGGGCACCAATCACGGCTCCAACCACAGCCACACCAAGCACAGTCACAGCTGCACCAATCACGGCTCCAACCACAGCCACACCAAGAACAGTCACAGGTGCACTAGTCACATCCCCAGCCACAGCCACAACAAGCACAGTCACAGCTGCACCAGCCACGACCGAAGGGACAATCAAAGATACTATTGTTGCCATCTTGGGAGGCATCGTGGGTGTGCCTGTTGTCTTGGTCTTAGGTTTCATCTTTCTACGCCGGTTCCTTCGCAGTAACAGGTACTGAGGGCAGAACTGGGTGGGCAGTGAGGGGCAGGTGGCCTGAGCAAGGACAGAGAAAAGTGGATTCCCAGACCATCCCCTGACCCCTCACTGCACTCTCTCCTCCTGGAAATTAGACCAGGAGACGAACACGTTATGTCACTTCATAGCAGTAACTTGACAGGCTCAGCTGAGACCTGCTGTGTCCTCACTGTGACTACCAGTGGGAAAGGAGGGGCCCCCCAAGGCTTGAGGCCTGTTGATGCTGAAGGGGTTCAGTGATTTCAGTGCGAGCTCAGACTCCCTGCTGCGAGAGTCTGTGGGCCCAGTGTGGGTGGGTGGGGCCAGCAGGCTCACAGCGCATGGGCAGTACTCACACTCAGGTGGGAGCAGCATGGCGGCTCCATGTGAGGTGTTCAGGGTCAGGGGAATAGCCAGGGGACTAAGAGGAGAGGGGCCTGGTCTCACCCAGGAAGAGGGGAGGAAGGCCTTTCAGCCCCAGCTCACAAGGCTGGAGTTCACGGCTGTGTTTCCATGGAAATTTGCTTCAGTGACATCAGGTAAGGCAGCGGGCTAACTGTGGGGCCTGTGCAGGACAAGGTTAGAGGAACCCAGTTCTCAGTGAACCCCTGGGATTCCTGGCCGAGCCCTGGTGCAGTCAGCTGGCAGCCACAATCCTGCCGACTGCACATCTGGAGTGTAAGGAAAATATATTTCCTACCAAATATTTCGTTACGACTAAAACTACTCTGTTTTAAAGTAAGTCACCATTTGGTGAGATTTTCAATCCCACTGGTCTGAAATACCGCAAATGTCAACCTCTCCCCAACAGCGCTCCTTGGGAATCAGTCATTCCCGCCAGACTGTGACAACTCCACCCAGCCGGAGTCTGTGCAGCCACGTGTCCGGGAAAGAACAGAGCGGACCTCCCGCTCAGTGGCACACTTTCCAAATTCTTTTGTCTGGTCCCATACTCTTCTGCAGAAGGGGTTTGCCTTACCTGCCATTTTTAAGCTTCAGTTTCGCACTGCCAGAGAGCATCTCCAGCAGAGCCACTGAGCGGCCCCTGCCTCGGGCAGAGGTGACTGGGTAGCTGGGTGGGGCTGAGCTGCTTGTGGAGTTGGATGCTGACCACTGACTGGAGCAGGGATGGATGGGGCAGGGCAGGGACAGTCATTGTCAGAGTGGTGTGCTGTGACCAGGGTGAGGAGGGCAGGAGAGGGGAGGGGAAACAAGGATGTTTGTCTGAAACCCTCCCCAGTGGGAGAGGAACCGGGATGCAGGCCCCTGTCTTTGGACAGGGCTCCTCATGGGGGCTTTAGAATCAGGACTTCAGTGCTGGGAGCAGAACAATTCATGTGCACCTTGAGTCCTGAGCCCACCTCTCATTCACGGGACTTGAGGCTGACTGTCATGTGGTAAAGGAGGGAGGACCTAGGGTGGTAGTGAGAATTGATGGGAACTATGTGCATCTCAGCGAGGGTGGGCTCTGAGATGGATGTGGTTGGTGTCCATGACCCCAGGGGAACTGATTCAGGATTTCCTCAGCTACTGGGACAAACACATGTTTCTTTTCTGATGGCAGAAGATGCTGCTTAGAAGCTCCAGAGTGTGGTCTAGTTCAACACCTGCTCCTTCTGGTTGGCTGTCCTTCCGCGTCCAGCTGTTCACCTGCCGAGCTCCAGGAGCTGCAGTCCTTACAGCAAATGCAGAGACGTCCAGAAAATCGTGAGGTCACGGCAGATGCAATACTCATGTCCTTTATTGCTTGAGGGACATGTCACTGCTGCACTTTACCAACATTTGGTTCCATTTTACTTTGGTGCCAGATGTTGGAATTTTTGCACTTAGTCTTCTAACTACTGGAGCAAGAAATCCCACCAAACAGAACATTTTCCATCTTCTCCTTTGGTCGTGGAAAATGAGATGATCTCTGCATCTGGACCTTGTTCTTGCAAATGATATTGGTGGTAAAACACCAAGCGAGAGTTAACCTCAGGGAATTTTTCTATGTTCTGGTCAAACCTCATGATTATTTAAAAGAAGAAAATTATATTTATGATACTTAATTTAATAATTTTTCACTCTGTAATTTTATTTAATTTATATCTCTGTCATTTAATAAACTATTACTTAGTAATTTTATTTTATAACCTATAGAATTTTAGGCAATCATCATTCCTCCAGGCCAGGAAGTAAAGAAAAACAGGAATTCTGCTAGATTGCTGTGGAAACAGACTCTAAAGGTCGTTCTCTTTTTTTTTTCAATTTTTATTAATTTGTTTTTGTTACAGATGTTTTCCTTTTTCCCTCCTAGATACCCTCCTTCCCACCCTCCTTATCCCCCCAGCATTGTTGTCTATGTCAACTGGCTATGCATACATGCAAATAAGTTCTTTGGCTTCTCTGACCCTTTCCCCCCTCCTCCCTCCCCTGAGGTTTGTCAGTCTGAACCATACTCCTTTCTATGTCTCTGGGTCTATTTTGTTCATCAGCTTATTTTTTCATTATATTCCTCAAATAAGTGAGATCATGTGGTATTTGTCTTTCTCCGATTGGCTTATTTCGCTTACCATGATACTCTTGAAGTTACTCCATGTAAAGGTCATTCTGGTTTTTTTTTTCATCCTCACCTGAGGACATGTTTTGCATTCATCTTCAGATAGAGCTGGAGGGAGAGAGGGAGAAAGAGAGAGAGAGAAACATTGACTGGTTGCCACCCACATGACCCCAACTAGGGCTGGGGACAAACTGCACCCAAGGTACGTGCCCTTAGTGGAACCGAACCCCTGTCTCTCTGGTCCGCAGGCGATGCTCTAACCACTGAGCAAAACAGGCCAGGGCTAAAGGTCATTCTTACATTGATTGTCAAGTAATTAATCTCACTTCCAGTCAACATAACTGACTGGGTTGCAGCCAAGGTCTCCAACTTCCTCCTCCCTTGATATATGAAAAGAATTCTGAGAAACAGGATGTTCCAGACCACTATCCCAGGTACCCAGGTTGAATCACCCTGGGAGTGGGGCCCGCCTTGGTCTCCTTGCGGTTATGTCTACACAAGTAGCCAAATCACATTGTCCTCTCCCTCCAAGGGCTGCCAGCCCCTCACCCATAAATCCCCCGTATAACCCTGCCAGTTAGAGATACAGGTGCTGACCCCACCTTCGGAGTCAGTCCGGCATGTAACTCCCCAATAAAGTTCTCTTGCCTGAACCCAGGTGTGCTCCTCATTTGACCCACCTTTCAACAAGTAAACTACAGAATAACCATCATTTAGAACTACCTGAAATCTGGCTGAATGGAAATCCTACAATTAGGGAATTAAAGAAGCAGCCACATCAAGACACATAGGAGAGGTGGACACTCAGACCAAGCTGGTCCCACATCCACATGTGGTGGATAAAAATTGTGAGGGAAATCCCGGTTGCAGATGTCCCCTCTGAGGTGCAAGGTGTCCCAGCTCCACACCAGGCCCCCCGGCCCAGGGTTCCAGTGCCAGGAAGAGAAGTCCCCATAACTTCTGGCTGTAAAAACCAGGGGGGATTGAGGCTGAGGGACATGGAGGGCTGCTGGACTCCCAGGCAGTTCCTTTTAAAGGGCCAGTGCATGGACTTCCTTGGACTCACTCCCTCTGAGCTCCAGCACTGGGCAGCAGCTCGAGAGACTCCAGAGGCATATGGGAAGGAAGTGAATTGTCTGGCATCAGGGCAAGAGCCGGGGGTGGGGGTGGGAGTGTGAGGGGTGGTGTCACAGCTTTCCCCAGACAGAAGTGCTGCCTGAGGCCATGTTCCTTTGAGGAGCCCTCCAGCCACAGAGCCAGCAGGCAAGCGCCATGTCTGAGATTCCATCAACTGGACTCAAGCTGTGTGCCCTGCCCTAGTGATGCTCTGAGGCCTCCCCTTACCCAACATCCAGACCCAGCCAAGCTGTTTCCAGTGGCTTTTCCATATGAATGGCCTGTCTTGGCTCCTGCTTTGGATTTATCTAAAATGTCTCATACAAGCAGCATCTGGCCTCAGCATGCCTTACCTCTCATACCTCCGACTCAGTGGCCCCAGGCCCAGCACTAGCAGTAGCCAACCTTGGGTCACGGCTTGGCCTTGCTTGGGCACCTCCAAGTTAAGCACAATTAACAGTCTGATAAAGTAGCAGATCACTTTGTAGCTCATGATGGGTGGCCCCAGCACAAGACAGGCAGCAGCTGACCTTGGCCTGCATCTCTGGGGAGGCCCCAGATCTAGTGCACCCAGTGGACAGCTTCAGACCACACCAGAGCATGAGTTCCTTACCACTTCCACAAGCAACACACTCATGGGCAGTCTCAGTGGGCACCAGAGCCCCACTGAACCAAGTGCTGCTCTGTGGGGTTGACCCCTGAACAGCTGACCCTCCGTGGTGAAGAGGTTGGAGGCTGGTATTTGGTGGTAGCAGTCAGTCCTTGCAGCTGGTCAATCTGGGCGATAATTTCTCACATTGATGTGCCAACAGCAATCAAGCCTCAACTACAAGAGGAGGGTGTACACAGCCCACACAGAAGGTGCATCCTGAGTGCCCAGATTAGGGGATTGGGGAGACTGTGCCTCTGGACCCTACACAACATCCGCTACATAAGGTCACTCTACCCAGCCTGGGAGACACAGCAGCTATGTCTAACACATGCAAACAAAATGAGGAGACAGAGAAACATGGCTCAAATGAAAAAAACAACAAAACTCCAGAGAAACAACTAAACAAAATGGAGATAAACAATCTACTAGATGCAGAGTTCAAAACACTGATTATAAGGATGTTCAATGAACTTAGTGAGAACAACAACAGAATCAAAAGTACCAGTAAGAAATGAAGGGTCCAATAACTAAAATGAAGAATAATTTACAGGGAGTCATTAGTAAAGTAGTTGAAACTGAGAGTCAAATCAGTGGTACGAAATACAAGGAAGCAAAGAACACCCAATCGGAACAACAAATAGGAAGAAGAATCCAAAAAAATGAGAATAGTGTAAGGAGCCTCTGGGACAACTTCAGTGTACCAACCTTTGCCTCATTGGGGCACTGGAAGGAGAAGAGAGAGAGCAAAAAATTAAAAACCTATTTGAGAAAATAATGACAGAAACCTTCCCTAACTTGGTGAAGGAAATGGATATACAACTCCAGGAAGAACAGAGAGTCCTAAACAAGATGAACTTAAAGAGTCCCACACCAAGACACATCATAACTAAAATACCAGAGATGAAAGACAGACAATCTTAAAAGCAACAAGAGAAAAGCAGTCAGTCACCTACATTTGGGCCATGTTTGTTTCCTCATTTTGTTTCCATTAGACTGTCAGCTGATTTCTTGTTTTTTGTTTTTTTTATCCTCACCTGAGGATATTTTTCCATATTTTGTACAGATAGAGTGGGAGGGAGAGAGAGGAAGGGAGAGAGAGAGAGAAACATCGACGTGAAGGGACACATCGAGTGGCTGCCACCCGCACGACCAACCAGGGCCGGGGACAAACTGCAACCGAAGTACGTGCCCTTAGCGGGAACCGAACCCGGGTCTCTCCGGACCGCAGGCCGACGCTCTAACCGCTGAGCCAAACCGGCCAGGGCTGTCAGCTGATTTCTTAACAGAAACTTTGCAGTCCAGAAGGGATTGGCAAGAAATATTCAAAATGATGAAAACCAAGGGCCTACAACCAAGAGTACTCTTCCCAGGAAAGCTATCACTTAGAATCGAAGGACAGATAAAGAGCTTCCCAGACAAGAAAATGCTAAAGGAGTTCATCGCCATCAAACCAGTATTATATGAAATGTTAGAGTCTTCTTTAGGAAGAAGAAGAAAAAACATATAAAATATGAATAAAAATGGCAATAAATACATACTTATCAATGACAGAATCTAAAAATCAAAATACCAAGCAGAACAGAAAGAGACTCATAGATACAGAGAACATTTTGGCGGTTGTCAGAGTGGGGGGCATTTGGGTAGATGGGTGGAAAAGGTGAAGGGATTAAGAAGTACAAATTGGTGCTTACAGAATAGCCATGGGATGTGAAGTACAGCATAGGGAATATGGTCAATAATATTCCAACAACTATGTATGGTATCAGATGGGTGCGAGATTTATCAGGACGGCCACTTAGTAAGTTATGTAATATCTAATCATTGGAGCGTGCACCTGAAACTAAAATGCATGTCAACTGTAATTGAAAAGTAAAAATGATTTAAAAAATAAATAGCCGTGGCTACACAGCTCAGTTGGTTAGAGTATTATCTTGATACAGCAAGGTGTGGGTTCTATCCCTGGTCAGGGCACATAAATCAACCAATGAGTGCATAATAAGCGGAACAACAGATTGATGTTTCTATTTCTCTCTCTCTCTTTCTCCCTCCATCACTCCCACTCTATCAGAAAATCAACAGAAAAATATCCTCGGATGAGGAGTAAAAAAGAAAAGCTTCTCCTGTGGAAGTAGGGTGTCCACTGGTGAAAGTGGGGGGTCCTTTTCCCCACTAGGTTCTGGGGTTGGGTACCTATGATATCTTGAGAAAAATAATTTTCTAGAGACTTGCATGGAGGATGAATGATTTTTACTTGCATGGAATTACATCCCTGGATGTGCAATGTCCTACTGCGCTTAAACCAGGCCTGGAAGAGGTGCAGCTGGATTGCAGAAGAGCCAGAAGCACAGTCAGCGTCCAGAGTCTCCCTTCCATGGTGGATTTGGGGCTGGCGCAGCATCAGGCTAGTTTCAGTCTATCAGTCCAGTGTGTGGGGTCCATTGGCCACAGGACTCGTGAGCAAATGCTGGGGCATGTGCCCTGCAACAAGGGAACCAGGAGCCCAGGACAAGGGTGTGAATGCCTTTGTTTAAAAGCTTATGTATCTTGCCCTGGCCGGTTTGGCTCAGCGGTTAGAGCGTTGGCCTGCGGTCCAGAGAGACCCGGGTTCGGTTCCTGCTAAGGGCACGTACCTCAGTTGCAGTTTGTCCCCGGCCCTGGTTGAGTCATGAGGGTGGTAACCCCTCGATGTGTCCCTTTCACATCGATGTTTCTCTCTCTCTCACTCTCTCCCCCACTCTATCTGAACAAAATATCAACAACAACAAAAAAAAAAAAAGAAAGAAAAAGTTATAAAAGCTTATGTATCTCAAATCCTCCTGGGTTGCAGTCGTCATGCCTACTCTGGCCAATGACTGTTCCCAGGTGTGACTGAGAAGCAAGTACCTTCCCTATGTCATCCAGACTTTACTGGGCATGCGTCTCACATGCCTGTACTGTTTGGCCTTTCCCCTGTTCCTTTCCAGTTACTTAACAACTGGGTTATACAAGGCATCGCTCCCACCTGGCCTTCCTGCCAGGCCTCTAATGTCAGCCTGTCGCCTTCCTCCTGTTCTCCCAGCCACTTGCCTCCTTAAGCCAGCCTTGTGGGCTGAGCCTGCCAGGCCTTCCTGTTGCCTCCTCTGAAGGGTTTAAACCCAGGCTTCTGTCCCCAGCCCTATGCATGGAGTCTCTTGTCAAACACAGATCACCTGGACCCACCATGATCTAACCCCAACCAAGCCTGTGTCCTGCCCACCAGCCTGTGTCTGTCTTCCCCACAGCACAGGCCCCTCCTGAGTAATGACTCTAGTGAATCAGTCCAGAAGCCCCTATATCTTTTATTTTTTATTTTTTATTTTTTTATGGAAGCATGTATGCTTTGATAAATATACATCCTTTATTTATTTATTCATTTATTTGTTTATTTTTATCTTCATCCAAGGACATTTTTCCATTTTTTGTTCAGATAGAGTGGGAGGGAGAGAGAGAAACATCCACGTGAAAGGGACACATCAAGTGGCTGCCACCTGCACTACCAACCAGGGCCAGGGACAAACTGCAACTGAGGCACGCGTCCTTAGAGGGAACTGAACCCGGGTGTCTCGAGACCGCCTGCCGACGCTCTAACCGCTGAGCCAAACCGTCCAGGTCAAGCCTCTATATCTTTTAATCTGTTAATCACAGAGTTTGTCCCTATCCTATGTTCCTCCGCTTAAGTAAATACAGGCCTTGTATAGGCTTCCTCCACTTGCCCTCAGCCCTAGGACAATGGGGACTTATGGTCACTCAGAGCTCATTTCAGGGGGTCAAAAATGAACAGCAGGTCATCCAGAGGCAGCCAATCAAAGGAACATTTGCTCAGACAGACATGGTATCTGGCCCTCTTGGTGGCATCGTCAGCCTGCAGGAAAGAGCGAGTGTTGGTCCCAGGGCTGAGGGAATCCTGGGTCAATTCTCCTGGGGCTACAGCACCCCAGTCACTCCCCATTTTCAGCCCCGCCCTCACCAGCCTCATGTATGTCCCTGAAGCTGCCACCCCTGCCCTGGGACCAGCAGCCTGTACCGAGCTCTGCCCACCTTTCGCACATCACAGTCACCCAGGCCCTGCTACAGACCTTTAGAGCTCACAGCTAAAATGAGTAATGAGTCCATCTGCTCCCTTCACTCGGGTGCTGATTCTCCTAAAGGACCTGCTGGGAGGCCTGATGGACAGGAGGGCGCTTCCTGACACCTGACACCTGACACCTTGGGGAGGGTGCAGACAAACATCCTTCTGTTCCCTTCTCTCCCAGCCTCTTACCTCTCAGCACATGTAGCTGTCAGTATGATGGTCCCATCCATTCCTGGTGAGCCCCACCCAGCCCCCCAGTCACCTCTGCGCAAGGCAGGGGCTGCTCAGTGGCTCAGGTTCTTGAGTCTGGAGGAGGCCGGTTGCCAGGTGACTGCACCAGGGCTCAGCCAGGAATCCCAGGGATCTCTGAGAACTGGCCTCCTTGTAACCTTACTGTATCACTCCTTAGATAGTCCACACTGCTAGACTCTCTCCTTACTGGTCCTTCCAGTGTCAGTTTCTGTGACTCTAGCCTCTTGAGTTGGGTCTGCAAGGCCTTCCACCTCTCTTCCTCTGATTAGATCCAAGCCCCTCTCCTCTTAGTCCCCTGGCTATTTCCCTGACCCTGAACATCTCACATGGAGCCACCATGCTGCTCCCACCTGAGTGTGAGTACTGCCCATGCGCTGTGAGCCTGCTGGCCCCACCCACCCACACTGGGTCCACAGACTCTCCCAGCAGAGAGTCTGAGCCCGCACTGAAATCACTGAACCCCTTCAGCATCAACAGGCCTCAAGCCTTGGGGGCCCTCCTTTCCCACTGGCAGTCACAGTGAGGACACAGCAGAACCCGGGCCAGAGCTTGTACCAGTTACTGCTATCAAGTGATAAATGCGTTAGTCTCTGGGTCTGGTTTCTAGGAGAAGTTTCAGTGAGGGCACATGGGTCAGGCTGGGAAGCCACCTTTCTCTGTCCTCACTCAGGCCATCTGCCCCTCACTGTCCACTCAGTTCTGCCCTCAGTACCTGTGACTGTAATGACCTCCACAGGATGCCAACTGTGATCCAGCAGGTGGGGATCACAGGGATGATTGCCGTGAGGGACATCTTCCTTGTGGCCTTGGATAGAACTGTGGCTCTGGTTGTGGCTGGTGTAGCTGCAAATGAAAGACAAAGTGACCTCAGGGCTGAACCCAATTCTGAAGAGATGCAGCCTCCCCTCCTCTGCCCCAGGTTCTCCTACAGTGCAGACTGTTTCTACCCCCTACGTGTGGCAGCCACTGTGACAGACCCCAGGTGGAACAAAGAGGAAAAGGGCCCTGAACCCTTGCAGATCACACAGCTAATGGGGACAGCACGGGTTCCAAATACCCTGTCACTCCTGCTGTGACAGAAGAGGAGGAGACACATGAGGAAGGCAGCAGAGAGGTCCCCAGGAGCTGATTCAAGGTGGTGTTGAAGGGTTTCCAGACATAGAGCAGGTGAGATGAAGGAGAAAAGTGATGCTGGGAGGACAGAACAGTGAAGCCACAGGTGTGAGAACAGAACGATGCCCTCATGTGTGGTCAGCAAGAATCCACGGTGAGTGTGCACGGTTATGTGCAGTGAGGAAGAGACGCGAGGAGGTGAGAACCATATGGCTGTTATTCTCCAACCACCCCCAACCCAGGGGTGGATCACTCCAACCACAACACACAGACACACACAGTGTCAATATCATTTGTAGAGACCTATGACTTCATTCTTTGTGCAGAGTTACCTGTTGTGCTCAGAACTCCATCCTGGGGACACAAAATGTGTTTAGGCCACTCCCTGCAGTCTCCAGCTGAGGTCCTAACAAGGAGATCGGTCATAGCTCTGGCACTCGCCAATGTCTCCTTTAGCACTCCACCTTCATCCTCCAACAGTGTCCAGCTTCTGCTCTCGGCGTCTAAGCCGAGAGCTATCTGTCCATCAAATCCAAACTCCCAGGATGCACTCTTGTGTCCATTGGATTCCTGCTTACACATCATGCTGCCCTGTAGGGAGAAAGATTCTGTCCCCAACCCCCATGGGAAAGAGGTCAGCCTTTGGTCTTGACAGATGCTTTGCCCCTTCCCGGTATCCAGTCCTCTGCTCCCAACCCATTGCCTGGTCCTGCTCTATTTTCTGTGTCCTACCCTGGCTTCTGGGCCTCCTGGACCAACATTCCAATATTTACATGAACACAATTGCTCCCTAATTTTACAACACTGTTCTACTTGTACTCTAGGTCTTGCAAACTTACCGCAGGTTGTAATAATCTCTACTTTATTCTCAAGCAATTTCATTTTGAGCTCTTCCATCACATGTTTCAGAGTGTCCCTCTGCTGATTCCAGGCCTGTGTGGCATTCATCTTCATCTCCTGAATACTGATGAGTTTGACTTTCTCACTACAACAGCTATAATTAAGAAATGTATTTTCATTGACCTGGCCTTGAATTTCACATCACGGTTGTCTACTAGGAGTGATGATGAATTTATAGCCAAGAGACATAGCACCTGTGAAAGAAAAATACAGGTGAAGGTTAGGTTGGAAGAAACGTGCCCATAAGCACCTTTCCTCCATCTCTGTGACAGCAAGTGAATACTCCTGATGGCCTGGCTGACAGAGCAAGAACTGACCCTGCCCAGCCCCTCGCATCACCAGGTGAAGGCTAGTGCCCCTCCCTTGCTTGAGGAGGACCGGGAGGCCTCTGCTTGGCAGGAAACCACACGTCTCCAGCTATGTCCCCCTCTGTCCACCAGCCCAATACCCAGCATCACTCAGTCCATAAGCACTCCAGGGATGTGCCAGACTGGCTGGGGAAAACGGTCTGGATGCCCGAGAACTGTCAGAAACCACCCCCACGCCCATGTGGAGAAGCTAGAGTGTGTAGGGGCTGCTTCTGAGGAAGCTGCATGAGGTGGGCAGGGTTAGATGGGCCAATGTTGGAGAAGGGGAGTTGGCAACTGCAGGTCACAGGATTCAGCATGGCCCTGGGAGATGGTGCCCACCTGCTCCTAGGATGGGTGTTGGGATTTTGGGGAAAGGGATGGCTGCACTGCATGGGAGAGAGTATTAGGAGCTTCCAACACAGATACTACAGGGAGGGATTAAAGACTAGAGAAATACAAGTGTCAGCATGGATACACATGAACAGACAGAGGAACCAGAAAATGTCCATCAACTATGCTCAAGGGAAAGCCTGAAGGACCTTTGTTATTGAACTCATAGAGAATGCAGGGTGACGATGGGGTTCTGGCCATCTCCAAATGTGCCACGTTGGCAGGTTGATTACTTCAAATTAAAGTTACTGAAGAAACTGCCGGTGCAAGAAGGATGTTCTGACCCTACCTTTTCCCTCTAAAAGCAGGAAATACATCTCCCACCTGAAGAGGACCCTTCCTGTTCCAGGAGGTGGAGAGACATTCTCAGCACCAGAGAGAGGGATTTTAGGGCTAACAAGGCTGTATAAATAAAACTTCTTACTTCATTTCTAGTTTACTAATATAAGCCCAAACGCCCTAGTCGATTCTTCACAAATTTATGATATATTTGTTTAAAAGGTATGAAGTCTGTCCCTGGCTGGTTTGGCTCAGTGGTTAGAGTGTCTGCCCACTGAACAATGAGTTGCAGGTTCGATTCTGGTCAAGGGCATGTACTTCAGTCGTGGTTTATCCTAATGCAGAAGGCAATCAGTTTATGTTTTCCTCTCACACTGATGTTTCTCTCTCTCTCTCTCTCCCTCTCTCTCCTTCCCTCTAACTCTATCTGAAGATAAATAGAAAAATATCCTAGGATGAGGATTAAAAAAATGAATAAATGAAAAATAAAACATATAAAGTCTGCCTACTTTGGTCACTATGGAGAGTCTCATATTTCTGTCTTTCCATAAGTACCACATTAAAATTGTTTTTTTCATCTATTAATCTGCCTCATGTTAGTTGAACTATTAGACCAGCCAGAAGAACCTAGAGGTGTAGAGGAAAACTTCTTCCTCCCCAGGAGTGAGACGAGCGACACCATTGTCAGGAGTCTCAGGCTGGCATCTCTGACGGCAGGGATTGGCAAGTGGACGTGACATTCCAGAAACTGGCTGCCAGGAGTAATGGAGACGAAATCCCTGAAGCCATACATTGAGATATAGGCTGTCCCCTGTCACAGCCAGCAGAGTGCCCTTATTGGAACGATCCGAAAGGCTGCAATGCCAACAACGGGCCTTGCCCACAGAACACTGTCCATTGGTCTTAGAGCACACAGGCTCTAGAGGTAAAATAGAGGGACAGCCAACCCAGAGAGTGCTGGTTTTAAAACATAAAAACAAAGTCAAAACACAATTGTGGATGATTAGGAGGCTAAAAGAGGCTGGATCCTTTCCCAGTTCCCAGAACTGAGGCGCTTCTCGGACCTGGAATGCATTCTGAGAGAGAGGTAGACACCAGGTTTCAATGAGGCGGGACCCTTCAAGTTGACAGCAAGTGCAGTGATTTCTTCTGGCCTTTCGCAAAGCACCATATGTCACAGGGAACAAACGAGATGCAGAAGCAAGTGGTTCTGACCTCGACACCACAAATGTACCAGCACTAACCTAATCTCACACTTATGGCTTCATGCAGTGCCTATCATGGCTCTGTTGGACCAAGGAATCCAGTTTACTGAAAGGAGGGGAGCAGTGGCCCTTACCTGTGGGACCCACATCCTCTCACATTACCTCCATCCAGAAGCATGTTTCTGGCTCTTCAACACACACTAGAGGAACCTTGGGAGATGTTTCCCTCGTAGTTAGGGCATCACATCTGGGACAACATAAATACAGGCTCAGCAATTTGTGACAGTTTCCCAACCTGGTCTCCCATTCATTTGCATGTTGTTTTTGCCTGCTTTTCCTCCACAAACATGAAGGTGCTTAGTGCATACAAAGACATATAGTAAGTGACCTGCAAAAATTATAGCATTCACTCTCTGCTCTTGATAGAAAAAGTTTGCAGGAAGGCAGATCCAGGATGGCTATAAAGTATCTCCCAGGATCAAACTGAAATTACAACTAAAATATAGAACAAACGATCTGGCTGGTGTGGTTCAGTTGGTTGAGCATCATCCTATGCACCAAAAGGTCACCAATTTGATTCCAGGGTCCAGGGATCAACCCGGTTGGAAGGTTGATCCCCAGTAGGGGTATGCAAGAGGCAGCTGATCAATGTTTCTTTCTCTCTCATTTATTCTCATTCTCTTTCTCTCAAATCAATAAAAACAAGTATATAACAATCAACCTGAACAATCAGCTGAAACAGGCCGAACATATGTCTCATAATTAAGGATTTACAGAAGAAGCTACATTGAGACTGGTAGGAAGGGTAGAGATGCGAAAATGACTGGACTCACACCCATGTGTGGTTGAGGAGAACCCAAAGGGATATCTCGGCACAAAGGTTCCTCCTGAGGAGCACGGCATCTTTACCTCATGCAGACTCCTGATCCCTTAACATAAGAGCCAGGAAGAGGAGCCCACATAACATTTGGCTGTGAAAATAAAAATGGATTCTGTCCACCAGGAAGAGACAAAAATCTGCTAGAAACCTTGGTGCCGTCTCAAAGGACCAAAGCACAGAATTTTTTCCCCAGCCACTCACCATGGATTCCCATGGAGAGAGCGCTGCCCGAGCATTCTAGAATTGTGTGAGAAGAAATTGGGTTTTTTGTCTCTGGGGAGAAAGCTGAAGAGACATCTACCAGGGTATCTCTGTTGAGTCTCCTCTCAGGCGACAGAGGCCATCTTCCTTGGATGGAGCACACCCCTCCACACTGCATCATCCTGGGGAAGTGCAATAGCCCAGGGCTATGGAGCTCATGTTCTACAAAGGAATCAGCTGCCTGGCCCTGGGGTGGTGACCTGGTGAAGAAAAAAGACATCAAAGACCAGGAAGCACAGAGAGTCTCAAACAAGATGAACCCCAAAAGGCCCACACCAAGACACATCATAATTGAACGGCAAAGTTAAAGATAAAAAAGAATCTTAAAAGCAGCAAAAGATCGTTAGTTACCTATGAGGTAGCTCCTATAAGACTGTCAGCTGATTTGTCAATAGAAACATTTCAGACCAGAAGAGATTGACATACAATATTCAAAGTGATGAAAAGTAAAGACCTCAACTCAAGACTACTTTACCAAGCAAGGTTATCATTTAAAAGTAAAGGAGAAATAAAGAGATTCCAAGACAAGAAGAAGGTAAATGGGTTCATTACCACCAAACCAATATTATAAGAAATGTTAAAGAGTCTTCTTCTAGAAGAAGAAGGAGTACAAGGTGGAAGAAGAGGAGAAGAAGAAGGAAGAGAAGAGCAAGAGAAGGAGAACAAAAACAGAAGAACATAGTTCTAAAGAATAAAATGGCAATAAATATGTACCTATCAATAATCACATTAAATTTAAACACTTAACTACCCCAATCAAAAACATAGGGTATGCCCTGGCCAGTTTGGCTCAGACACAGAGCCTGTGAAGGAAAAATGCAGGTGAAGGTTGGGTTGGAAGAAATGTGCTCATAAGCACCTCTCCTTCATCTCTGTGACAGCAAGTGAATACCCCTGAGGGCTGGCTGACAGAGCAAGAACTAACCCTGCCCACGCCCCTCACATCACCAGGTGAAGGTTGGTGCCCCTCCCTTGCTTGAGGACAACCAGAAGGCCTCTGCCTGGCAGGAAACCACACAATCCCATTATGTCCCATCTGTCCACCAGGCCAATACCCGGCATCGGTCAAACTATAACCAGTCTAGGGATGTGCCAGGCAGGCTAGGGAAAAACAGTATTGATGCCAGAGGATTGTCTGCAACCAGCCCTATGTCCTGTGGTGAGATGGTAAAGTGTGTAGGGGGCTGCTCATGAGGAAGCTGGACGATGGTGGAGGTGGGATTAGAAAGGAACCCAATGTCAGAGGAGAGTTGACAACCGTAGGTCACAGGACTTAGCAGTGTCTTGGGAGAGGGTGCCTACCTGCCATTAGGATGTGTCTTGATTGTTTGGAAAGAGGGATGGCTATACTGCATGGAACAGAATATTAGGATCTTCCAACACAGATAGTAGAGGAAGGGATTAAAAGACTAAGAGAAATACATATTTCAGAATAGATGTATATGATAAGCCAGAACAACCAGACAATGTCCATCAACTACACTCAAGGGAAAGCCAGAAGGATTCTTTGTTTATCAAACTTATAAAGGATGCATGGTGATGATGGCATTCAAGGCGGAGCTACCCCCAATGTGCCACTTTGACGTATTGATTATTTTGAGTTAAAGTTACTGAAGAAACAACTGGCCCAAGAAGAATATTCTGAACCTACCTTTTCCCTCTAAAAGTGGGAAAAATGCCCCCACACATGAAAGGGCCAACAGTAATGTAGACTCAATTACATCAAGAGGGCTCACATACCATACACAGTGGTCATTCCTAGAGCATCGAGGTGAGGTGCTCAAGGAGACTGCACCACTGGATCCCACAGGACACTTGCTACATAAGGCCACCCTAGCAAGATTGGGAGACATAGCAGATATGCATAATATCAGAAACAAACAGAGGCAGCCCACATGGGGAGACAAAGAAACGTGGCCCAAATCAAAGAACAGCAGAAATCTCCAACAAAAGAACTAAGCGAATTTGATACAAGCATTCTACTAGGTAGAGACTTTACAACTATGGCTTTGAAAATGTTCAAGGAACTTAGGGGAAGTTGATGGGGGAAGAAGATGGACTCAGTGAGAACTAAACAGAGAGATAGTAAGCATGAAAGAGAATATAGCAACTGTAAAAAAGGAATCAGTCAGATATGAAGAAGAAAATATCTGAAATGAGGAATACACTAAAAGCAATAAATAGTAAGTGAGATGAAGCAGAGGAAAGAATCAGTGATTTGGAAGACAAAGTAGTAGAAAAACCCCAATCAAAGCAGCAAAAAGAAAAAAGAATTTTAAAAATGAGAATAGATAAAAGACCTTTGGGACAACATGAAGTGTAACAAAAGCCACATCATAGAGGTACCAGTAGTAGTAGAAGAGAGAGAAAAAGGGATTGAGAGCACATTTAAAGAAATAATGACCAAAAATATTCCTAACCTGGTAATGGAAAAAGACACCAAATCCAGGAAGCACAGACAGTCCCAAATAAGATGAACCCAAAGAGGCCTTCACCAAAACACTTCATAATTAACATGGAAAAGGTAAAGACAAAGAGAGAATCTTAAAGTCAGCAAGAGAAAAACAGTTATTTACCTATAAGAGGGTTCTTATAAGACTGTCATCTGATTTCTCAATAGAAACATTTCAGGCCCGAAGAGGCTGGCATGAAATACTCAAAGTGATAAAAAGCAAGGACCTACAACTGAGAATATTTTATCCAGCAAGGTTATCATTTAAAATTGAAGGAGAAATAAAGAGCTTTCTACTTAAGAAAAATCTAAAGAAGTTCATTACCACTAAACCAATATTACAAGAAGTGTTAAAGGGTCTTCTTTCTGAAGAAGAAGAAGAAGAAGAAGAAGAAGAAGAAGAAGAAGAAGAAGAAGGAGAAGGAGAAGGAGAAGGAGAAGGAGAAGGAGAAGGAGAAGGAGAAGGAGAAGGAGAAGGAGAAGGAGAAGGAGAAGGAGAAGGAGAAGGAGAAGGAGAAGGAGAAGGAGAAGGAGAAGGAGAAGGAGAAGGAGAAGGAGAAGGAGAAGGAGAAGGAGAAGGAGAAGGAGAAGGAGAAGGAGAAGGAGAAGGAGAAGAAGGAGAAGAAGGAGAAGAAGGAGAAGAAGGAGAGGAGAAAGAGGAAGAAATAAGAAAGAAAAAGAAGTTTAAGAAGAACAACAACTATAACAGAGGAACATAGTAATAAAGAATAAAATGGCAATAACTACATCCCTAACAATAATCACTTTAATTTTAAATGGTTTAAATGCTCCAATCAAAAACACAGGGAAGCTGAACAGATGGTAAAACAAGACCCATATATGTGCTGTCCACTAAGGACCCACCTCAGACCGAAAAACACACACAGACTAAAAGTAAAGGAATGGAAAAAGATAGTTTATGCAAAGGGAAATGAAAAAAAGCTGTGGTGGTAATACTTGTATTTGACAAAAAAAGACTTTAATACAAAAGCTATCATAAGACACAAAGGAACACTCTACATAATGATAAAAGGAGCAATTCAACAAGAGGAAGTAACCCTTGTAAACATTTATGCAGCCAACACAGGAGTACCTAGATATATAAAGCAAATCTTGATGGATATAAAGGGAGAGATTGACAGTAATACAGTCATAGTAGGTGATTTTAACACCCTACTGACATCACGAATAGGTTTTCCAAACAGAAAATCAACAAGGAAACAGCAGCCTTCAATGACACAACACATCGCTTGAATTCAATTGAACCTTAAGAGCATTTCACTGAAAAACAGCAGAATATGCATTCTTTTCAAGTGTAGATTGAATATTTTGTAGGATAGACCACATATTAGGACACAAAACAAGTCTCAATAAATTTTAGAATATTGAAATCCTATCAAGTATCTTCTCTGACCACAGTGGTATGCAAGTAGAATCCAGTTACAAGAAAAACTGAAAAATACACAAAGACATGGAGGCTAAATAATATCATATTAAACAATGACTGTGTCAACAATGAGATCAAGGAAGAAATCTAAAGATGTCTTGGGACAAATGAAAATGAGAACACAGCAACCCAAAGTCTATTGGACAAGGCCTACCCCAAGAAACAAGAAAGAAAATCTCAGATAAACAATCTAACCTTACACTTAAATGAACTGGAAGAAGAACAAAAATCAAAGTCCAAAGTGGATAGAAGAAAGGCTATAATGAAGATCAGAGCAGAAATAAATAAAAGAGAGTCTAAAATATACAAAAGATTAATAAAATCAAGAGCTGGTTATCTGAAAAGATAAATAAGATCAATAAACTGTTAATCAGATTCATCAAGAAAGAGAAAAGACCCAAATAAATAAAATAAGAAATGAAAGAGAAGTGACAACTGATATCACAGAAATACAAAGGATTATAGGAAAGTATTATGAATAAGTATATGTCAAAAAATTCAGCAATCTAGAAGAAATGAATAAATTCCTAGAAATATATAATCTCCTAAAACTGAATCAAGAAGAAACAGTAAATCTGAACAGACTGATGACAACTATTGAAATTGAAGCAGGAAAACAAAAGTCCCGGACTGGATGGCTTCACAGGCAAATTTCACCAAACATTCAAATAAGAACTAACAACTATACTCAAACTATTCCAAAAAATTCAAGAGGAAGGAAGACTCCCAAATTCATTTCACGAGGCCAGGATTATCCTAATTGCAAAACCCAATTAATACACTACAAAGAAAAAAAGATATATAGGCCAATATCCCTGATGAACATAAATGCAAAATCCCTCAACAAAAATATTAGCAAAGTGAATCTAGCAATATATTAAAAAAATCATACACCATGATCAAGTGGCATTTATCCCTTAGATGCAAGGTTCCTACAATATTTGTGATCAATTAATATGATATATCACATAAACAAAATGAAGAATTAAAACTATATGATCATATCAATTAATGCAGAAAGAGTATGGGGCAAAATCCAGTACCCATTGATGATAAAATCTCTCAGCAAGGGAGACTAGGGAGAACATATCTTAACATAATGAAGGCCAATATGGCAAAGCCACAGTTAACATCATACTCAGTGGGGGAAAACTAAGAGCTCTTCCCTTAAGATCAGAAACAAGACAGGAATGTCCACTTTCACAACACTTATTCAACACGGTACTGGAAGTCCTAGCCATAGCAGTCAAACAAGGAAAATAAAAAGCATCCAAATTAAAAAGGAAGAAGTAAAACTGTCATTATTTGCAGGTGACATAATACTGTATAGAGAGAACCCTAAAGATTCCACCAAAAAAGTTTACTAGAACTCATAAGCAAACTCAGTCAAGTAGCAGAATACTAAATAAATATCCAGAAATTGGTTGCATTTTTATACACCAATAATGAGCTATCAGAAAAGGAAACTCAGAAAACAATCTCATTTACAACTGCATAAAAAAACACTACCACCTAGGAATAAACTCAATCAAGGATATAAAATACTTGTACTCAGTAAATTATAAGTCACTGAAGAAAGAGACCAAAGAATATAGAAATAAATGGAAGCATATGCTGTGCTCATGAATAGGAGAAATTAACATTGCTAAAATGTCCATGTGACCCAAAGAAATTTACAGATTCAATATAATTGTTAGCCACATACCAAAGGTGTTTTTCACAACTAGACAAAATAATCCCCAAATTTATATGAAACTAAAACAAACCCTGAGTAGCCAGAGCAGTCCTGAGAAAGAACAAAGTTGGAGGAATCACACTACCTGATATCAAACTTGACTACAAGGCCATAGTAATCAAAACAGGAGGTACTGGCACAAAAACAGACATATGGGCTTTTTCGCAACGGGTTTGCCGCCAGAACACAGGTGTCGTGAAAACCACCACTAAACCAAACCCAAAATGGGAAAAGAAAAGACTCATATCAACATCGTCGTCATTGGACGCGTCATTGGCAAGTATACCACTATTGGCCATCTGATCTACAAATGTGGTGGGATCAACAAAAGAACCATCGAAAAATTTGAGAAGGAGGCTGCTGAGATGGGGAAGGGCTCCTTCAAGTATGCCTGAGTCTTGGGTAAACTGAAAGCCGAACGTGAGCGAGGTATGACCATTGATATCTCCCTGTGGAAATTTGAGACCAGCAAGTATTATGTGACCATCATTGATGCCCCAGGACACAGAGACTTCATCAAAAACATGATTACAGGCACATCTCAGGCTGACTGTGCTGTCCTGATAGTTGCTGCTGGTGTTGGTGAATTTGAAGCAGGCATCTCCAAGAAAGGGCAGACCCGTGAGCGTGCTCTTCTGGCTTACACACTGGGTGTTAAACAACTGATTGTTGGTGTTAACAAAATGGATTCCACTGAGCCGCTCTACAGCCAGAAGAGATACAAGGAAATCGTTAAAGAAGTCAGCACCTATATTAAGAAAATTGAAGTTCACATGTCCAGCGGGCCGGACTGCAGGTCTCTCCTTGCGGCCACGGCGTGAGAGCAGAGTACGGGCTGCTGCGGTCGAAGTCATGGCAGGACAGGCGTTTAGAAAGTTTCTTCCCCTCTTTGACCGAGTATTAGTTGAAAGGAGTGCTGCGGAAACTGTAACCAAAGGAGGCATTATGCTTCCAGAAAAATCTCAAGGAAAAGTACTGCAAGCAACAGTAGTAGCTGTTGGATCCGGCTCCAAAGGAAAGGGTGGAGAGGTTCAACCAGTTAGTGTGAAAGTTGGAGATAAAGTTCTTCTTCCAGAATATGGAGGCACCAAAGTAGTTCTAGACGACAAGGATTATTTCTTATTTAGAAATAAATAAGAAATTTTTTTTATTGACATTCTTGGAAAGTATGTAGACTGAAATAAACCACTATTGAAATGGCATCATGTGAAGCTGCCCATTCCATTGAAGTTCTGAAATCTTTCATCATGTAAATAATTTCTGTGTCTCTTTTATAATAAACTAATGCTATCAAAAAAAAAAAGAAAGAAAGAAAATTGGCTACAACCCTGACACAGTAGCATTTGTGCCAATTTCTAGTTGGAATGGTGACAATATCCTGGAGCCAAGTGCTAATATGCCTTGGTTCAAGGGATGGGAAGTCACCCGTAAAGATGCCAATGCCAGTGGAACCATGCTGCTTGAAGCTCTGGATTGCATCCTACCACCAACTCGTCCAACTGACAAGCCCCTGCGTCTGCCCCTCCAGAATTTCTACAAAATTGGTGGCATTGGTACTGTTCCTGTGGGCAGAGTGGAGACTGGTGTTCTCAAACCCGGAATGGTGGTCATCTTTGCTCCAGTCAATGTAACAACTGAAGTAAAGTCTGTAAAAATGCACCATGAAGTTCTGACTGAAGCTCTTTCTGGGGACAATGTGGGCTTCAATGTCAAGAACGTGTCTGTCAAAGATATTCGTCGTGGCAATGTGGCTGGTGACAGCAAAAATGACCCACCAATGGAAGCAGCTGGCTTCACAGCTCAGGTGACTATCCTGAACCATCCAGGCCAAATCAGTGCTGAATATGCACCTGTGCTGGATTGTCACACAGCTCATATTGCTTGTAAATTTGCTGAGCTGAAGGAGAAGAATGACCGTCGTTCTGGGAAGAAGCTGGAAGATGGCCCTAAGTTTCTCAAATCTGGTGATGCTGCCTCTGTTGTCCTGGGGAGGGCTGCTCTCTATGTGTCTGTGTCTTCATGTGGCATATTCCCTGTCTCTCTTGTGCCTCTTCTTATAAGGACCTCAGTCATATTGAATTACTATTCATCCTAATGACCTTATTTTAACTTGATTATATCTGTAAAGACCTTGTTTCCAAATAAAGTCCCATTCACAAATACAGGAGTTAGGACTTCAACATATCTTTTGCGTGGCACACAATTTAATCCATAACAGAAGGCATATAATCAACCATTTTCCACTCCCCAAAAGAATCATTTCTTCTCTTCATTTTCCAAAAGATTTTGAAAATGTTTTTCTGAGATATAATTGATATATAACATTATATTAGTTTCTTGTGTACCAGATTTTATATTTGTATATATTATTAACTGTAAATCCCATGTTCATTACATCTTCATGACTTTTTTTTTTATAATTCCAAGTTTGTACCTTGACCACAAGAAGAAATGATTATTGTAGTA